GTACATTTGCTTCTTCAGGTGTTCCCGCAATTTCGGTTTTTTTTTTTTTTTCCGTTTTTCATTTTGTAAGAATTTCGCCTGTTATATCCTCAATTCCTGATTCAGATGAACTCGCACTTAATCTTTGAAAAGGAAATGTTTATTTTAATTTTTATTTATATTTATGGATTATGAATCTATGATGGATTGAGAAAGGGAAAATTTTGAATTTGATGCTCCTATGAGGGAAACTGTTTTTAATTTTCTGTGTTTCAGAGGGAGGAATAATGGCTGATTCCGGTGGAAATTTGACGGTTTCTGAAACTGATATTTCTGTTTTGAAAGAAGCTCTCTGCACTCAGCAACAACTTTTGCAAAAGCTTCATGTCGAGTTGGATGTGGAAAGGGAGGCCGCGGCCACGGCTGCGAGTGAGGCTCTGTCCATGATCCTGCGTTTGCAGGGAGAAAAGGCTGCGGTGAAGATGGAAGCGAGTCAGTATAAGAGATTGGCGGAGGAGAAGATAGGTCATGCGGAGGAGTCTCTTGCGGTTTTCGAAGAACTTATATATATGAAGGAGATGGAAATTTCTTCCCTTGAGTACCAGGTTGAGGCTTATAGGTACAAACTTTTAAGCCTGGGGTTTGGTGATTTGGGGAGTGGTGAGAGTAAGTTTCCGGAGAATTTGTTGTTGCAAAGTGATGTGTTGTTTGGGGGAATGGGTGTTAATGGCAATGTGAGAAAACTCAAGAGTATGCCTGTGACATGTAAAGATTTCAAGTCAAAGAGTTTTGACTGTGAAAGATCTGCAGTTCCTGAGATGGATTTGGATTTGATTCATGGTGTAGAGGAGGAAAAATTCGAGCAGGTGGTTGAAAAATCCGAGCAGGTGGTCAATGAGCCAAGCTCTGAGGTGACGAGGAAGCCATGTAACTCAGGAGGAGGCGATTTTAATTACTACTGGGAACAGATAAGAAAGTTGGATGAATGGGTGAAAGAGATAACTGATGGGAAGGATTCTAGTGGAATAGATAAACCTGTCAATCCAAAGGTTGAGTCAAGGTCTTGTTCATTGATTTCACATAAGAGCAGTAATTCATCTCTTGATCCTGCAAGAGCAAAAATTCATGCTTTAATGGGGGAAATGAAAAGCCTGGACGACTCAAAGGAGAGAGAAGTAGTTCCTAGTTCTTCTTGCGCCTCTAGTGTCCAAGATATATTTGAAGTCTCAGAAATCAATGGCCATCAAAAAACTTGGGCAAATTTGCAGAAGGCTAGGAGTAAGTTGAATTTGGAAGAGAGTAAAAGAAGACTTGGGAAGGCAAATACAATTGCAGAGGAAACCTTTGAGTTACCTACTAAAGATGAAACTGAATGGGAGAAGAAAATTTTGCCAGTTCCAATGCCTGAGAAAAGAGCATGTAAGCCAACCAATGGAATGAGTCTTGATCACAAGGTGTCTTTAGGTCAGCTAACTATTGGCATAGCTCAATGTAAAGATGAGCTACAACGGGTAAGCAAGAGAGTTGAGCTGCTTGAGGGTGAGAGAAATAACACTAGACAGGAAATTAGAATTGCAGGGGGAGAGGAAATAAATTTGTTGAAGCAGATTCAAGAACAGCTTAGTTCAATGCAGTCTGAGATCACAAGTTTATTACCTAAGAAACCCCCACCTCCAGATGATTCTTCCCTTATTTCTCTAAAGGAGGTACATTTTCTCTATTTCATGCATTTGTCCTCTCCTTTTCACTCCCTTGGACACACTTGCATAACTATTTTACTTCTACCTATTCTTGAAAATATGGATCAAGATTATAGCAAAGGCTTGCTAAGAATGGCTTTTGAACTCTGGTTTTCTTTTGTGTTTACATAGCCATCGATCCATACCTTGATAACATGGCTGGTTTATGTGGACAGGGAATGCTATACTTTTGGCTTTAATCAACACAGACAAGCACCAGATAGGTCATTGCATCATTACCTTGAAACATGTTCCAGAAATGTACTGCAAAAGGGTATATCGTTTCTTTTTCTTGTGGATTTCTTTGTATATATAGAATGAGAAAAGATTGCATGGTGATATTGCACATCAACCAGGAAAAGAGTTTGCTTCATAGGCTTTTTGAATCATTCATCCATGGATTTTTTTTTTCCCTTCCTGAAACTGAGCTTGTTTAATTACCAGCATGCCATGCTAATCTACTGCATTCGGCAGTTCTTTTCTTTAGTTTTATCCAGCTTGAATGATTAATATTTTCATGTTCGTGTAAATTATACTATGTACATCCATGTTATCTGTTGATGCTACTACTCATAGGTTTCCCATCCCTTTCATTGCCACGCGGTAGAAATTTAGTTAAGAGAAATCTTGTAACCTTCAGAAGATGCTTAGCAATAGCATCCAGCTTGGCTGTATCAACATAAAAACTTTAATCTTTCTCCCAGGTTCACCAAATCATCTTGAGGACAGATTTAATCACGTCATGCTTAGCAATGGCATCCAGCTTCATTTCTGTTTCCAGTGATGCTTTTGCAACAAAGAATTCTAATTCCTTGTCTCTCGTCATGTTCTCTACCATCCCATTCTTTGTTACACAATAAACATATCTATCATGTAACATTCAGAAGATGAAAAATCAATTCCCTAACTTTGGACAGGAATATTTACTAAACTGTAAAATTTGCAACTGAAATACCATTTGTAAGAAAGTTATGAAAATCTCATTAGATTCAGTGCCACTTTCCTGAGAGAGCAATGCAGGATCTTCAAGAGTTCCTAGGATGTTCTTTTATGTTTCTTTGTTCTTGTGGATAGGATTAGGCTTGATGTTTAACCCTGTATGTGACAGCTTTGCAGATTTTATAACCTAGTTTGGTTCAGCCTGATATTCATAAACCATGGCTCGCTAGACAACTTGGACGAGCTTATAGAGGCCTAAGTACAACAATTTGAGGTTTCTAGAAACTCAGCGCAATTTTTGTTAGGTAGAAGGATTCTCCATAAGGTTAGCAAGTAGCCTACTCCTGCTTCTGTAAAAGACACTTCTGGGTTCCTTCTGAAACTTTAATCCAATGAAGTCCTCAGTTTGTTTTCTTGTAATCTTGTGACTGAAGAAGCAATATGTTAGCATAGTTACGTATCTCCGTACTCATTGTGATAAAAACCACACACCCACTTGGAGAGCACCATTCATTCTAGAACTAATCCTCCCACCTTCGGAAAAGCTAATGACAGTGAAACATGCCAGGCTGCATTTTCCAGAGTTATCATGAATCCTGCAACTATCTATTAATTTATTTACCAGTTTTGTGAAAAACTCTCTGTCTAGCAGTGAATTGGAAACCTTTTAACATTGCAAAAATGTCTAATGATTGGAGACTCAAGCCTTAATTAAAAGTTTATTCTTGCAGCCTACGTTTTGGTAGTTAATTCTATGATTCAAATCCATTGAAACAATGCATATTTCAAATGAAACCCGAGGAAACTTTTGTTTTTCTTTCTCTGCTGAACAATTTCCATGCGGAGAGCAGCATGAAATGGACAGACGGCTGCTGAAACTAGCAATTGCCGATGTTTCTCTTTCTTATTTTTCTTGATATTGTGACTTTGTGTTTTTCTTTCTCAAAATTCTGTTTCTTCTCATTTCATATGATAAAGCCTACACAAGCTTAATGGTAACTAAAGATATGGGAAATCATTAGTTCTTTGGAAATATACTCCCTCGTGTTTTAAATGTTCATCCATTGATGGACACATGAGTTTAAGAAATGTTGCTTGTGGAGGTCATTGTCACGAGGCATCAGGTCACACTCACCTCAGAGCTTTTTTGCACTCAATAATTTTTTTGTAACAAGTGGGATTGGCAGTCTGGTTTTTTATTTTATTAGAAATTCTTAATATCTAGCCAGTAGCATTTAATCTATATATAGTTTTTAAAAACATCAATAGGGTAAACTTTAGCTACGCCACTGAGTCTCAAGAGGGGGTGCATATAACATCTTACTCAAGTTAACATGCCTTAATTTCAATCTAGTTCCAAAGTGGACAAGATCATAGTGGGTCAGGCTGTTAAACTGGTAATGATAACTTCTCTCAAGAGTTGGAGAAGAAATCCAAATTGATGTGGCCAAAAAAATGTTCTGATCACCATGTGTAAGGTTGTACTGTGGAAATTATTGTAGTCCATTTATTAACTGTATCTAATATTCCTGTAAAAAATGGGGTTAAGACGGGTTTATAGAGTTGATTTTATTTCAGGACATTCTTTTCCCTTTGTCTCTTCCCTAAAACAGGAAACACAATCCAGACACACTCCAAAAGAAAAAAAAAAAAAAAAAAAAAAAAGAAGAGAAGAAAAATGCTGCAGTGCAAGTTCAAGTTCTGTAAAAATCATAAATTGCAGTTGCTGTATTCTGTAACCACAATCATATATTACTGTCCTCATTTCAAGATATTTTACTCATCGCCTAACTGTATTGAGTGCGCACCACAGTATGTGAAAGTAGTTGCTGGTATTGATATTTACCAACTTTTACTTATGAAAGTTGAGCTATAAGGTCAGATACTCAAAATGAGTCTGCTATTCTTGAATACTTAACCCAGATAATGAAATATATAAGGTCCAAAAGCGGGGATTGGTGAAATGTGCTTCTCCAGCCAAAGCAAGCACATAATGGAGATAATCTAAGATAATGCGGAAAATAATATAAAATGCGCACCAAGTTGACTTGGAGTCTTGATTTGCACATCGGTTATTATCATTTTCCAGGTTTCTGCTTCCTTCCCTTTGGCCTGAGACAATTTGACCTACTACAACAAGCAGTGATTTCTTGACTCTTTTTTTTTTTCCTTTTCCTTTTTGCTAGTGTTTACCATCCACTAGTTGCTGCTTGGTTTTATGCAAATTCTATATCAGTGGTAGGTCAAAAGAGACCTTGGTGCAACTTTGGTTCTAAGAAAATCCTTCCACATTGCTTGCTGCAGAAACATTCCAAGAGAAAACAATTAGATTAATGTAATTGGATGAGGTATGATTCATAGTGCACCATTGCTGATAACTAGTCTCAATTGTCTATCTCTCAATGATTATTTGAGAACAGAAGTTGTATTTTGTTATTTTTTTTGGATGAATGAGCTTGTTAGGCGGTGAAAAGGAAATCACCTTTTTGGTTCAGTTAACCTCAGCTGGAAAACTTTTGCCTGGAAAGCGACAAGGCGTGATCTTAGGGTGGAGTGAATTGATGACAGTGAAAACAAAATCTATTGGATTGTATTTTATTGAGTTTAAAGTGAAATGTTAGTTATAGTTTCACCAAGAAAAAAAGGGGGGAAAAATAGTCAAACAAATGAATACAAATTTTGATCAAATTTTCATGAAATTTCTGAATAAGCTAAATGGGGTGTTTCTATATTCTTTCCTTGATCAGAAAGCAGCAGCCTTTGGAGAAGCTTCTTCAATCAGCTTGGAGGATGGAGTAGAGAGGTACTGCTTTAGTCTGCCCATTTCATGAGCTATTTCTAGCATGGTTGGTCTTGTTGCAGGGTTGTACTGTGTGCAAATAAGCCCAAGTTCTATCAACTCCAAGACAACATCTCTCCATATTTTGTCATAACTTGCCGGTATTCCTGAGGGTCTGCACCTCATCAGTGCTTGCTCTACAATAGGTTCAAGCCGGTATGGATAGTGACCTTTTATCCACTGATGCAAACTTGAACCTTCATCGAAAAGCACATCAGTGGGACGCCTTCCTGAGACAATTTCTAGTACAAGGACCCCAAAACTGTAAACATCACCCTGAGTTGAAGCACGTTTGCCTAATCCATACTCTGCATTTGATCAAATCAAAGAGATCACATAAATGGCTTCTTGTGATTTGTGCTGCTACTAATTCTCGACCACTATTTTATCCTTTTAAAGACAAGATTGAACTAAGTTTGAGCGTAATTAATAGAATTTAAACACTATTAATCTCCAATATTTGAAAAAATAGGACTTGAATAGTATTTCTATGTTAAAAATAATAGCTAAAAGAATTAATGGAAGAAAGAAAGAGCAGAAGAGAATACATACCAGGAGCTATATAGCCAACAGATCCACATAACAAGCCGTCTGTTGAGTTAAAGGACATTGAGTCATCTGGAGAAATACCATCATCAATGCCTTTCACCAACCTTGCAATCCCAAAATCTGTTACCAAAGCAGTCATGTCATCATCAAGAAGGATATTGCTGGGTTTAAGGTCACAGTGCACAACTTTAACAGGAGAGTGATGATGCAAATAGGCCACCCCTTCGGCCACATCACTGCAGATGCTCACCAACTGGATCAAATCCAAGTTATGGTTCAATCCATGACTAGGGTATAAATGCCTCTCCAGGCTCCCATTCGACATCAGGGGAAGGACAAGAGCCTTGAAGTCTGGCCTGCTGCAGGTTGTAATGATCCTAATCAAATTTCTGTGCCTTGTCCTCCTTAGGACTTGACATTCCCTCCTAAAACTACCTGATACGTCTCCAGCTGTCTTCAAATCCAAAACCTTCACGGCTATTCTCGTCTTGTCCCGAAGAGTTCCCTTGTATACATGACCAAAGTGGCCTGAACCAACCAAGCTGGAAGGGCTGAACCCACCAGTGGCTTCAATGAGTTCCTTGTACGAGATTCTTGGGTACTTGAGGTCCTTCCTAGTTTCTTTTTCTTCATCTTCCAAGTTCCCTCTGCCGAATATTCCTAGTTTGCTTCTAAACCTTGACCTAAGCACTAGAGGTACAAAGAATACAGCAGTTGCAAAGAGTAACAGGAGGATTGGCAAAACAATGGAACGAAAAGAACCTTTCTTCCTGCAGTTCGTCATGCCTTTTATTGATCCACAGAGACCTTCATTTCCTAGAAAAGAGTCTATGGTCAGCAATGAAAATGTACCCTTGTTTGAAACATCACCAGAGAACTCGTTGAAAGAAAAGTTTAGCACTTTCAGAGTTGATGATGCCTGAAAAGTTGGTGGTATGCCTCCTGTCAATTGGTTTGAAGACACGTCTATCTTCTTTAGATAGGGCAACCGCCCTATTGAAGCCGGCAAGGGACCTTCCAGGAGATTACCAGAAAGGTTAAGGGACTCTAGAGCGATGCAGCTTCCAAGTTGTGAAGGGATTATGCCAGAGAGATTGTTCAAGGATAGATCAATAGCCAGCACCATATCCATTTTGCTCAGCTCTGGTGGCAAGGGCCCATGCAGCAGATTGCTAGACAAATTCAGGTACAGGTTCAAGCTCCTCAATCCAGAAACCTCACTGGGAATCATTCCAGAAATTCTGTTGTGAGAGAGGTCTAAAATCTCCAAGTTTTTGCATTTTCCCAGGCTCGGTGGGATTGTTCCTGAAAGCTGATTATCATGGAGCAGAAGTCTCCTCAGCTGGGGCAGATTAGCAAAACTATCTGGAATTGACCCTGAAAGCTTGTTCTTTGATAAATCTAGAAGACCCAAATGTGGAATATCTCCCAAAGCTGCTGGAATCTCACCAGAGAGTAGATTATCCGACAGATAGACCCTCTCTAGTTTTTCCATCCTGTAGAGTTCAGGTGGAATGGTTCCATTCAAAAGGTTGCTAGAAAGGTTCAAGAGGTTGAGATTTACAAGGTTAGAAATCTGAGGAGGAATGGACCCATATATCAGGTTGTCATCCAGATCAATCTCTGCAAAATTGGCAGAAAGATTACCAATAATAGGAGGTATCTCCCCACCAAGCTTGTTTCCTGCTAATTCCAGTTCTTGTAAGTTAGATGCATTAACCAACGAAGCAAAGAAGGGTTCAAGGTTTGTGTTACCATCATGACTGACAAAATGATTGTGTGACAAGTAGAGGAACTGCAACTGTGGCATCTTACTTATAATATCAGATGGCAGTTCCCCTTTTAACATGTTTGATTCAAGATCCAGCCATTTGAGTTCTGTGAAGTTCGAAAGGGCCTGAGGAACTCTTCCCACCAATCTGTTGGACCAAAGCATCAAATACCTCAATTCCCTGAGCTCACAATCATTCTTCAGAGGGATTTCGCCACTGAGAGAGTTGTTAGAGAGGTCTACATACTGCAAAGTATTAGAACCATTGCAGAAAAGTGATGCTGGAATCTCACCCTCGAGCCTGTTACTCACCAAGTCTATGTATTGTAATTCTGGAAAATAACCCAACTCCGTTGGGATTTTTCCTCGCAGAAGGTTCCATGATAAACTGAGTTGCCTGAGCTGAACTAGAGAGCCCAGCTCTACCGGGATTTGACCTTCAAAAATGTTTCTGGAAAGATCAAGAATCTGTAAGGAAGTAAGGTTGGAGAAAATTGGCCCCGGAATCTCCCCCACCAGCCGGTTACTCGCAAAATCAATGTAAACCAATTGCTGAAGACGGCCCAACTCAATTGGGATTTCCCCCTCCAGAAGGTTCCATGATAAACTGATTTTCCTGAGCTGAGTCAAAGCTCCCAGCTCTTTTGGAATTGGGCCTTCAAAGAAATTCACGGACAGATTAAGAATCTGTAAAGAGGAAAGATTGGCAAGAGCAGGGGAAATGGTGCCTTGGAGTGACGTTGTATTAAGATACAGCTCCACCACTTGATTCCTACCATTGTTGCACCGAACCCCAAACCAATCACAGACATGAACATTCTCAACGTTCCAGCTCTGGAGAGCATGTTCTGGGTCTGACACAATGCCCTCCTTGAACGAAACCAAAGAAGCTCGATCCTTGGCAATTGGGTCAGTTGTACCCTCTTCAAATGCACCCACAAACAGAATGCTAGTGAAGAACAGGAAACTGAACCTGGAAAATTTCCAAAACCCCATTTCAACTGCGCTCACTCTCAATGAAGAACGAGTGTTGGATGGAATTAGCAGAGCACCATGCTTGTGTATTTAGAAGGAACAGAGAAATTCGAAGATGGTGACCTTGCCTAACTGCCGTTGAAGGAGGGAACGAACGTTTGGCGCCTATGATGTTTGACGGTTACATCAACCACTGGGAACAGAACAAGTGGCGTCACACTTAAGCGGCGTTACCCGCCGCGTGAGGAGTGGTGGCATACATGTCAGCGGCAACCGGCCAAACACTTTTAACCACCGCCCTCAGGAGTTGTGATTAGTGGATGATGCGCTGTTAAGATAATTTAGCTTAATAGGAGCATGCTCGTTGCTGATGGCAACTGGGTTTTTGGAATTTTGGTACACATATGGGCAAGAGTGATGTATTAGGGCACTTTCAGTCCCAAAATATTACTAGAATAGAAGTTGAACTCAGTGTTTTGTAAGTTAATACAGTTTAAATTATATATATATATATATATAT